TTCCAAACCGGGAGTCCCATGCGAGTTTCGTTAGTTTCCACAACTCACGTTTGTCCCTCCCTAGGTGTTTTGAGGTGTTCCCCGGACCTTCTCTTGGCTGTCAGCCGATTTTGGCCCCCCCGATGCACTATTTTCAAGCTTAGGTGCGTGAAAAGTGCCGTTTCGGACTTAGTTTCCAAACCGGGAGTCCCGTGCTAGTTCCGTAAGTTTTCACAACTTACATCAGTCCCTCTCGGGGTGTTTGACGTGTTTCCCGGGCCTTCTTGTGACTGTTACACGATTTTGGCCCCCGACGGCTTATTTTCGAGCTTAAGTGTGAAAAAAGTGCCTTTTTTGATTTAGTTCTCAAGCCGAGAGTCCTGTACTAGTTCCGTAAGTCTTCGCAACTTACCTCTTGGACCCTCCCGAGGTGTTTTTGGCATTTCTCGGTCCTTCTCGCGACTGTGACACATTTTTGGCCTCCCCCGGTGTACTATTTCCATGCCCAAGCGTGCAAAAAGTGTCTCTTTTCAACTTAGTTTTCAAACCGGGAGTCCCCGTGTTAGTTTCGTAAGCTTTCACAACTCCCGTCTGTCACTCCCGAGGTGTTTGAGGTGTTCCCGGCCCTTGTCGCGACTGTTACATGATTTTGGCCCCTTGATGGCCTACTTCAAAGCTTAAGTGTTAGAAAAGTGTGTTTTCCGACCTAGTTTTCAAGTCGGGAGTCCCCGTGCCTGTTCGTTATGTTTTCACTGCTCAAATTGGTCCCTCCTAAGATGTTCGAGGTGTTCCCCGGGCTTTCTCGTGATTGTTACACGATTTCGGTCCACCAAGGCCTGTTTTCAAGCTTCAGTGGGAAAAAAGTACCTTTTCCAACCTAGTTTTCAAACCGGAAGTCCCGCGCTTGTTTCCACAACTTACATTGGTTTCTCCCGAGGTCTTACTGGTGTTCCACGGGCCTTCTCGGGACTGTTACAGGATTTTTTTGGCCCCCGATGGCCTATTTTTAAACTTACGTGTTTAGGAAGTGCATTTTTTTACTGTTTCCAAACCAAGAGTCCCATGCGAGTTCTGTAAGTTTCCACAGCTCACGCTGGTCCTTCCCAAGGTGTTTTGAGGTGTTCCCCGGACCTTCTCTTGGCTGTCACCCGATTTTGGCCCCCCCGATGCACTATTTTCAAGCTTAGGTGCGAGAAAAGTGCCGTTTCGGACTTAGTTTCCAAATCGGGAGTCCCCGTGCTAGTTCCGTAAGTTTTCACAACTTACATCGGTCCCTCCCGGGGTGTTTGACGTGTTCCCCGGGCGTTCTCGTGACTGTTACACGATTTTGGCCCCCGACGGCTTATTTTCGAGCTTAAGTGTGAAAAAAGTGCATTTTTTTATTTAGTTCCCAAGCTTAGAGTCCCGTGCTAGTTCCATAAGTCTCCGCAACTTACCTCTTGGACCTTCCCGAGGTGTTTGGGGCATTTTCCGGTCCTTCTCGCGACTGTGACACGGTTTTGGCCCCTTCCCCCGGTGTCCTATTTCCAAGCCTAAGCGTCGAAAAAGTGTCTCTTTCCAACTTAGTTTTCAAACCGGGAGTCCCCGTGTTAGTTCCGTAAGCTTTCACAACTCGCGTCTGTCACTCTCGAGGTGTTTGAGGTGTTCCCGTCCCTTGTTGCGACTTTTACATGATTTTCTCCCCCCGATGGCCTACTTCCAAGCTTAAGTGTTAGAAAAGTGTGTTTTCCAATATAGTTTTCAAATCGGGAGTCCTCGTGCCTGTTCGTTAAGTTTTCACGGCTCAAATTGGTCCCTCCTGAGATGTTCGGGGTGTTCCCTGGGCTTTCTCGTGATTGTTACACGATTCCGGCCTGTCGAGGCCTGTTTTCAAGCTTCACTGTGAAAAAAGTACCTTTTCCGACCTAGTTTTCAAACCGGAAGTCCCGCGCTAGTTTCCACAACTTACATTGGTTTCTCACGAGGTGTTTGAGGTGATCCACGGGCTTTCTCGGGACTGTTGCAAAATTTTTTTGGGCCCCGATTGCCTATTGTCAAACTTAAGTGTTTAGGAAGTGCATTTTTTGACTTAGTTTCTAAACTGGGAGTCCCATGCAAGTTCCGTAAGTTACCACAGCTCACGTTGGTCCGTCCCTAGGTGTTTTTAGGTGTTCCTCGAACCTTCTCTTGGCTGTCGCCCGATTTTGGCCCCCCCGATTGACTATTTTCAAACTTAGGTGCAAGAAAAATGCCGTTTCGGACATAGTTTCCAAACCAGGATTCCCGTGCTAATTCCGTAAGTTTTCACAACTTACATCGGTTGACGTGTTCCCCGGGCCTTCTTGTAACTGTTACACGATTTTGGCCCCCGACGGCTTATTTTCGAGCTTAAGTGTGAAAAAAGTGCATTTTTTGATTTAGTTCTCAAGCCTAGTGTCCCGTGCTAGTTCCGTAAGTCTCCGCAACTTACCTCTTGGACCCTCTCGAGGTGTTTGGGTCATTTCCCGGTCCTTCTCGCGACTGTGACACGGTTTTGGCCCTAAGCGTGGAAAAAGTGTCTCTTTCCAACTTAGTTTTCAAACCGAGAGTCCCCGTGCTTGTTCCGTCAGCTTTCACAACTCGCGTCTGTCACTCCCGAGGTGTTTGAGGTGCTCCTGGCCCTTGTGGCGACTGTTACATGATTTTAGGCCCCCGATGGCCTACTTCCAAGCTTAAGTGTTAGAAAAGTGTGTTTTCCGATCTTGTTTTCAAATCGGGAGTCCCCGTGCCTGTTTGTTATGTTTTCACAGCTCAAATTGGTCCCTCCTGAGATGTTCGGGGTGTTCCCCGGTCCTTCTCGTGATTGTTACACGATTCCGGCCCGCCGAGGCCTGTTTTCATGCTTCAGTGTGAAAAAAGTACCTTTTCCGACCTAGTTTTCAAACCGGAAGTCCCGCGCTAGTTTCCACAACTTACGTTGGTTTCTCCCAATGTGTTGGAGGTGATCCACGGGCCTTCTCGGGACTGTTGTAGGATTTTTTTGGGCCCCAATTGCCTATTTTCAAACTTAAGTGTTTAGGAAGTGCATTTTTTGACTTAGTTTCCCTGGACCTTCTCTTGGCTGTCACCCGATTTTGGCCCCCCCGATGGACTCTTTTCTAGCTTAGATGCAAGAAAAGTGCCGTTTCGGACTTAGTTTCCAAACCGGGAGTCCCGTGCTAGTTCCGTAAGTTTTCACAACTTACATCGGTCCCTCCCGGGGTGTGTGACGTGTTCCCCGGGCCTTCTCGTGACTGTTACACGATTTTGGCCCCCGACGGCTTATTTTCGAGCTTAAGTGTGAAAAAAGTGCATTTTTTGATTTAGTTCTCAAGCCGAGAGTCCCGTGCTAGTTCCATAAGTCTTCGAAACTTACCTCTTGGACCCTCCCGAGGTGTTTTGGGCATTCCTCGGTCCTTCTCGCGACTGTGACACGGTTTCGGCCCCTCCCCCCGGTGTCCTATTTCCAAGCCTAAGCGTGGAAAAAGTGTCACTTTCCAACTTAGTTTTCAAACCGGGAGTCCCCGTGTTAGTTCCGTAAGCTTTCACAACTTGCGTCTGTCACTCCCGAGGTGTTTGAGGTGCTCCCAGCCCTTGTTGCGACTGTTACATGATTTTGGCCCCCGATGGCCTACTTCCAAGCTTAAGTGTTAGAAAAGTGTGCTTTCCGACCTAGTTTTCAAATCGGGAGTCCCCGTGCCTGTTCGTTATGTTTTCACGGCTCAAATTGGTCCCTCCTGAGATGTTCGGGGTGCTCCCCGGGCCTTCTCGTGACTGTTACACGATTTTGGCCCCCGACGGCTTATTTTCGAGCTTAAGTGTGAAAAAAGTGCATTTTTTGATGATTTTTTTGGCCCCCGATGGCCTATTTTCAAACTGAAGTGTTTAGGAAGTGCATTTTTTGACTTAGTTTCCAAACCGGGAGTCCCATGCGAGTTCCGTAAGTTTCCACAACTCACGTTGGTCCCTCCCTAGGTGTTTTGAGGTGTTCCCCAGACCTTCTCTTGGCTGTCACCCGATTTTGGCCCCCCCAATGGGCTATTTTCAAGCTTAGGTGTGAGAAAAGTGCCGTTTCGGACTTAGTTTTCAAACCGAGAGTCCCGTGCTAGTTCGAGCTTCCGACGGCTTATTTTGGCCCCCGACGGCTTATTTTGGCCCCCGACGGCTTATTTTCGAGCTTCAGTGTGAAAAAGGTGCATTTTTTGATTTAGTTCTCAAGCCGAGGGTCCCGTGCTAGTTCCGTAAGTCTCCGCAACTTACCTCTTGGACCCTCCCGAGGTGTTTGGGGCATTTCCAAGTCCTTCTCGCGACTGTGACACGGTTTTGGGCCCCCTCGGTGTCCTATTTCCAAGCCTAAGCGTGGAAAAAGTATCTCTTTCCAACTTAGTTTTCAAACCGGGGGTCCCTGAGCTAGCTCCGTAAGCTTTCACAACTCGCGTCTGTCACTGCCGCGGTGTTTAAGGTGTTCCCGGCCCTTGTTGCTACTGTTACATGATTTTGGGCCCCCGATGGCCTACTTCCAAGCTTAAGTGTTAGAAAAGTGTGTTTTCCGACCTAGTTTTCAAATCGGTAGTCCCAATGGCCTACGTTTGAAGGAGTGTAAATTTAATCAACAGAATTATACGAGACAGATTATTTCGTGCTCGTACAATTTTAATAAAATAAAATAAAAATTCAACTTTTTAACCGACCTACCAAAATAATCTATCTTCATCCTCTCCATCCCAGCCCATCCCGAAGCTTCGTTTTTCCACCCTCTTCTACACATACATAAACATATAAATATATACATGGGTGAGAGGCGAGAGAGGGAGAGAGAGAGATATGGGGGTGGAGATTGTGGAGTCAAACACATGCATTCGGGGTTGCTGCCGGAGCGACTCAATTCCTCTGTATCTCCCACCTTCTTCCTACTCTCTCTTAAACCCAATTGTTCGAGGTATCAATCAATATATATATGTGTGTATTTGTTTTTTTGTTTCTCAATTGCAATTCAAAGAGAAAGCTTAATTTGTGGCCCTTAATTTGTACCCCTCTTTGGGCTCTCACATTGGCTTTGTTGTTGTGAATGTGAAACTGAATTGGTGTGTATTCATTCTGTTTCAGGAGCAGAAAGTGTGGTTTATGAAGCTGTTTTGGATGGAAACAAGGTTGCTATGAAAAAACCCATTTTGTCTACCTCTGATCACATTGATAAATTCCACAAGGAATTGCAAATGCGATGGTCATTTCTACTCTCTCTCTCTCTCTCTCCATATATACAGTAGCTCATTTTGTCCTATTTAGCACACAAATATTCTCCACCTTTTCTCATTTTCTATCTCTGCCTTACGTGAATTCCAAATTAGCAAATCCCCTTTTTGTGTGTATATACATGTGTGTGTGTGTCTCACTATGTAAGTAACCGACTATAGTGCGATGATCAAGGCCTGCCCTGAGTTGTTGGAGCCCTAAGCGGACTCTTGAAATTGGAGCCTTTTATATATAATCATTAAAAAAATTGCATGTAAAATAGTAAGTATTTACATTATATATATATATATATATATTTAAATTTGCTATTACCCACACAAATTTAGCTTGCAGATATAATTACTAAAATTTAACTTACACAAATTAAGACACGAAGAAAAATCATTACAAGAGCTCAAAATGATAAGAATATTGTCTTGTTAGTTTTATAATTTGACCAAATTCAGTTTACAAAAAGGTATCAGTTAAATAATACCAAATAAAAATTGAACCAACTACAACAGTGTATCAGTTAAATATTACTTTTCTCACATTTTTTAATGCAAAATTACTAATTAAGCTTGCATAATCTGTAAGGACCCTTTAGTTTAGATTGTGAACTTAGATTAGTTGTACTGAATCCTTATTTTTGAGCCTACTAATGCTATAAGAGTTAAAATTAATTAGGGGCCCCTAAATTTTGTTAAAATTTGGAGGCCCATGGTGGTCTTGCCTCAAGGTTGGGGCTGGCCATGATGCATTTGGGGGAGGAGAGGGATATTGGTTCTGGAAAAGGATGTTGAGGTGGTTTTAGGTAGTTTTACCATTTTATCATTCTGTGCAAATCAAAATAGAATCCAAAGATGTTTGAGCACGGGGTAATTCAGGCATACTAAAAATCTGTCAGGGACATCAATTAAGGTGTTTCCTTCTAATAATAGTATAAAATATGCGCTTATATATGAATTTATGTGTGTAGATGTTTATGTATGTGTATTTGGTTTGTTTATTTGAATGTCTACATGTGATATGCGGGATTCTTTTTTGACAATTTGGTTATATGATGTGATGATGAAGCAAGTTAGATCATCCAGGAATTGCCACATTGGTTGCAGCACATGCAAAGCCTCCAAATTACATGTTTTTCTTCAAATTCTACGAGTCCCTAAATTTGGCAGAGAAACTACACGTGGAAGAGTGGAATCCAACTTTTGATCAAGTGCTCACCATCTCAGTCCAGTTAGGTATGTCTTTGATGATCTTGGCTTCATTTGAGTGTTTTAATTTTGTGAAGTAAACCTTAATTCCTTACTCCTCATTGAAATTCTTTGTATTTTCTTTGTGATATTATGTGCAAAATTCCTCTTATTAAGGGTAAATAAGTAGTATAGATTAGGCTGAACATGACACTCATAGACTCAGTGTTTTATTACCTGTTATGATTTGTTCAGGTAATATGAAATACTTGAGATGATTCTTATAGGTGCTTAGTTCACATTGATGACATGTTAGTGATGATGTGTAGATTTCAAGTTTAGGTTTCTAACTACTGTAAAGTTATATAGTGAATCTTTCCATTGGTGTTTTTCTTGCTTGAAGTCTCTTTTTACTTTGAGTGTTGCTAATGGTACTACTCGTGCTCTGTCACAATTATTACAAATGATAAATTTTCGAAATTCTTGGAAATTTAGTCTTTTTTGGAAAAATAATAAATAAAGAAATGTAGTAAATCCTTTAAACAGAGCCTTCTATTGAACCTAAATTGTTTTCAAAGCATCTTTTCAATTCTGGACGAAAACAAAAATTTTAGCCCTAGTTTTTGTTTAGATGCAATTGAAGGAGTAAAATTGTAACTTAAATCATAGATTTGTGTCAGGAGCAAAACTCCAACAACCCCTAGCAATAATAATAATAATAATAATGATAATAATAATATTTATCAAAAAAAATAATAATAACAATTATAAAAATTAAGCAATTAAACAATAAACACCTATGAAGTACGATACTCCAAAAATGGTATCGTACGAGTACTGGGTACTTACCGGGTGCGGGTACGAGTACCGGTACGGTAGTACACGTACCGGGTACGCCGAATACATGCCGTGTACGGCAAATACATTTGGGTACGTCATGGGTACATTGTGGGTACGGCATGGGTACGACACCAGTACGGCAAAATGAATTTTTTTTTTTTTCCCCTCAGATGCTAGAATTTGTTGCAGCCTTTATTATTATTCTTTCAATTTTGAAAATATCAAGTAATTTATTTCCAACACTCTTTACCTATGAGTCATGGTTTTGGTCTCTTTTGTATCCTGTTTTAGACAATCAAAAAAGAAAAAAAAATAATTGTATAACTTTTTAGACAAGTTATTCTCTTTTTAGTTTTGATATTGAAATTTTGATTTGTATGTTGGATGTTTGGCTATAAATTTTTAAAAAAATTAAAAAAAATTGATGTACCCAGCCGTACTAGTACCCTACTTTTTAAAGAATCTTCCGTATCGGTGTACCCGTATCGTACCCGTACCCGCACCCATGCTTCATAGATAAACACTTAAGGCTGCAAATTACTATTTGACGATTGTCACCGTCCAGAGGGAAAAAAGGTAATAAAAAAATTTAAAAAAATGATATGAAAGTCAAAATGTAAATGCTTTGGTATGTAACTTTATTTTGTTGATTAAGGTTGGAGTTTTCTATTTATTCGGGAGGCTTTTATAGGAACAAATGAAATTACAATGGACTTCATTTGATTGAAGGGTTGATATCATGTCTTTAACAAATTAGGAGCAATTGAAATAGGCGCATGCCTCGGATGCGCTTCGTTAATGTCATCTTACCTCAAGGATGGCAATGGATCGGGTTTTGAGTGTGAATTCTTGCTTTTAAACTTAATTAATTTAGTGATACAATTTTATACTTTACTTTACTATAAACCTGACAATTTTGACCTACCTACCGCTATAGTTTACCCTACCTTGGCCCTCAGGTGCACCTTACTACACTTTGTGCCTAGGTGCGTGCCTAAGCACGCTTTTGATAGCATTGGCTTAGATTTTACACACATTCTATAAAACATACGTTGTCAATGATTAAGGATGTGCAATCTACTACCATGTTGTGTTCTTAAGTATTGTTTTTTTCAACATATAGGAATTAGTAGTGTTTTTTGTCAATTTTGACTTGTTGGTAAGTTTTAGCATGTTGCACAAGATTTATAAGAATGTCTAAACATATGAGTGATGATAATGAAGTATTTATGTCACGATGGACATAATGCTCTTCAAAAATTTTGATAAATATCCTTGAATTTCTGTAAAACATGGGAATAGCTAACGTGGAATATGATTTCAATTTTTAAAACATTCATGAATAAATAATGCAAATAATATTAATTTTTCTAAATTATTTCCAACATCTCACCAATTTAACCTGCATGGATAGCCTAGTAGTCAAAGGAGTGAGATATAAACTCAGATGTTTTGGGTTCAACTCTTGCTGGCATCTAGACCCTGTCTTGGAGAGGTTCTTCATCATCCAAAAGGAAAAAAACCTCGCCAATTTTAAAATTTGGTATTGCTACTCAGCATCTTAGGTAGACGTCCTAATTAGATACCTCTTTAAGTTTCAGCTGAAAATTCTTGGAATTACTTTATGGATTTAATGGTAACTACTGAACCTCTTCAGATTACTCGTCTCATTAATTTAGAAATTCCAAATTTGTTTTGGTTTCAGCTCTCGCTGCTTCTTCTCTATTTCTTTCTCTCAACATCTTTTGCTTCCTTTGTCTCTCTCTTCTCTGCATATTCTTCTCTTTTCTGCATCTTCCCTGGTTCTTTCTCCTTCTCTGCATAGCTTAGCTTCGCTTCTTCATCATCTTCCCAGCTGGTTTCTTCTTCCTCTCCCCTGTTGCTTTCTCTTTCTTCTTCTTCACTGATGTTGCTTCTATTCTCTGCTTCTTCTTTGAATCTATTATCTACTTCCCCGCGTCTGCTACTACTCCTGCTACTGCTGATCTGTCTGTTCTCTGTTGTAGCTGTTGTTTTCTCTTCTCCGTAACTGTTGTTGGATCTTTCTTCTGTCACTGATGTTGCCTTCTCTCTTTCTTCTCTACTGCTGCTGCTGCTGCTGATGATTATGATGATGAGGATTTCATTCGTGTCCAATTACTTAATTTGTTTACTCTTTGCTTGGTACCACATATGTGTTTTGATGGAATTCCTGTGAGAAACCAGTTTACTTGTTTGGGAGTTTGGGCTGAATGTAGTAAAGTTCTCCATTTGAGTTATATCACTTGAAATTTTTTCTAACCAAAGTACCAAACTAAGCTAAATCCGAGTACATAGGAAGGAGAAACTTTGGAGCAATTTTTTGAAACATAAACATCTCTTCAAACTCGAGATGGGTTTTCTCCGACAAGAGGGGTTTGCTGTAATGTGGTCCCATAGGAAAAGATTGATTGCTGAGTACTGGCATTGGATAAGCTTATTGCTGTATGTCTGTCCCTTTGTTTTGATTCTCTGTTTTATGAACGGATTATAAGGTTTATACTAAAGTTATAATGATCATGTTTCCTATTTTACAGCTAAAGCTCTGCAACATCTACATAAACTTGGGATTGTACACAGGGATGTAAAACCAGCAAATATTCTTGTAAAGGCCATCTACATAAGCTTATTGTTTTGTTTTGTTTTGTTTCTGATCTTTTTGTGGGTAAGATTTTGTGTTTCCTATTGAAGTGGTTGAATAATATGCTGCTGGTGCCTCTACCTGCTGCAAATCCTCACAGCTCGTCTGCACCAACAGGTTTCCCGTCCTTGATACAGAGATGTTGGGATGCAAACCCCCAAAATAGGCCTTCTTTTGATGATATTATTCTGGAACTTGATCCCATCTTGGAATGCAGAAAGAGAGTAGAGGAAGACAAAAAGGAAAAGGCACTTGTTGACCCCTCTATCCCTCTTGGTGATGAGGGCATCCCGAGCCTTCTTGCTTATCAAAAAAGTATTAACTGGTTTACTGAGGATGAAAACCTGTCAAAGAGATCTTGTCTCGCAGCTGATTCTGGTGTCAGAATTTGGCCTGATCCTTTTACTGATCCTTCAGCATACCATCCAGTGTTGTCTTGGGGATCCTTCGGTACTTGTGGGAGAAGGGAGACAATGGAGGACACTCACTTTCTTATGCCCCATATGTGCGGTGAGAAGGATATCCATGTGTTTGGAATCTTTGATGGTCATCGAGGTGCGTCATAAATTAAGAGCTACTTATTTTCATCCTATTGGTGTATTTGGTACCAAACTCAAGCAACAGTGGATTTTAATGAGAACTAAAGCTCATGTGGGTGATCACAATATTAATTAATAAACAATTGCTTGGGCATCACTTGAAGTGTTTCTTAATGAAACCAGAATGACATAATGAGCATTACAAAGCCCAACTATTACAAAATGGAATTATTTGGAAATTAGTTTTAAGAAATTAATGTTTAAATTCTTGAAGAATTCCTTTTTTTTTTTTCTTTTTTTTTTTATAATTCTTTTTGGTTGTTTCCAAACATAGCCTATGTGTCGTGCATTAGTTGCTCTAGATTACAATAAAAATGGCAAGATCAAATGCAGGTGCAGCAGCTGCTGAGTTTTCTGCTCAAGCTCTACCAGGATTTTTGCAAAGTCTTGGTTCCATAAAAAGGTTTCTTCCATTCTATTATTCTTGTGGGCTCTTTACATTCTATAATCTATATATGAATCTATTTGATAAGAAGTACATATTTTTATTTTGTATTTGATAACAATGCAGTCCGTCCGATGCATTACTAGAAGCATTTGTCAAGACAGATGTTGCATTCAGGAATGAATTGGATTCCCATCGTAAATCTAAGGGAGTTATTCAGAAAGACTGGCATCCTGGTTGCACAGCCATTGTGGCTCTTATAGTCAGAAACAAGCTTTTTGTTGCTAATGCTGGCGATTGCAGGGCAATGCTATGCCGAGCTGGCAGTGCTTATGCTCTAAGTAAGGTGAGATCGGACTTGATTTATCAACTAAATGACTGTGTAGTTGAAACATTCTATTAGAATAAAACATGGACCTTTTTAAACTTATTTTATTAAAAATTGTCTCCTTTGCTTACCCAAATAGGTTAAATTGTTCTCCAACTAATTCAACTTGACGCTGTAGGATCATGTTGCAAGTTGTCCTGAGGAGAGAGAACGTATTATCAGTGAAGGGGGACAGGTCAAATGGCAAGTTGACACGTGGAGGGTTGGGCCTGCTGCTCTCCAGGTTTTCTTCTTATCCTTTGCTTAACGATATTCTAGAAAAATGTGTAGACTATTGTCTTCTAATATGGTTGTCTATTGTGAGGAAGTATATAATATAAACTTATTTGTTTCGTCAAATTCTTTTTGCACCAAGTGTTAAGACACATGAACCACCACTACAACCCATATCTAGGGATATCTTGAGCATTATGATTATCAAAAATACTTATGATCACTAAAACATGAGCGAAAATATAAAAGGTAAGGAGTTGGTCCTCGAATCCTACTCCAACTTCTGAGCGTAGCGAGGAGGCTCCTTGTGTCCTGCATCGGCTGGTAGTTGTATGGAGGGTTCATCAGTTGTCACCATGAAGAGGAACATTATGCAAGTTGGGCTCAAAGCATTCGATGTGGTTGTTGACGAGGTTGATCACAAGAAGATGTGGGTCGCGAAAAAGGGTAGATCTCTGCAAAGATCCCTGATGTTGGGATTTGAAGTTCCTTTGTTGGCTCAAAAGAAACTTCTTAATTCCTGAAGAGAGGTCTTTCGGGCAGTCTCAACCTCTCGGAGGGCGCATAGGCTTTTGGAGGTCTAGAGACTGGTGAATAGGAGTGGTTGCTCCTTGAGGTTAGGATTTTTGGGGCAAATCAGTGGCAGGTTGTCACACCCCAATTTCAGATTAGAAATCTAAGGCATGATGGTTAAGGGTTTAAGGCTAGTTAAGATTATTAAGTTAAAATAGTGAGATCTTCTATTGTAAGTTCATATTAGATGTGGACTGATTCAAAAGAGTAGGGTGATTGATGTATGTTTTAAAGCCTAATTTAGTGTTCAAGGGTTCAACAACAAAAATGGAAACGAATAGCAAAGCAAATGATTTAAATTTCAATAACAAGACTTGCTTCATATGTGTGTGTGTTTATAATCCTAGTGTATAAAAGTAGCACACACCGAACTCTCTTTCCTCCCTACTTAAATCCCATTACATTACACAAAAGAAATAGTACAGGTACAACTTTCAGGTATATACATTACACTTTACAATCAGCTCACAACAGTACAGTAAAAAAATAGGGTAAATTACATTAAACCCCCCTCAACTATGACCTATTTTTGAGTTGCCCCCTTAATGTTTTAAAGGCAACACTTACCCCCCTTGAAGTATATGAATTGCAAAAGTCATTAACACTGTTAACAGAAATTATTAAGTTACCCTTTTACCCTTCAATTGTATTGCTACCAGACTACCATTATCTTCTTCAACCACTACCTAATTTCTTCCAAACCCTAATCAAATCAATTCAATCCCAAACCCTTAATTCCACAGTGTCTCCACAATTCCGATTAATGAGAATATACCATTTTTTTAAACTTTAAAAAAAAACTGTTCTTATGAGCCTATTTTACATAGGATTACACACAGTGACAATAATTTTCATCAGTCATTAGCACATCTGTTTGTATTTGACTTTCAATTATTAATTTTTTTTACACATAAAGTATTAAAACTCAAAATTAATTTTTCATTTTAAAAATAAATTCTCGTGCATTGCACGGGGTTTTCTACTATAGTTGAATATAATTTAGGAGAAATATAAATATATATATATATATATATATATAGGTGAGAGGGAAAAAAAAAATAATTGTAAACCAACTTGAAAGTACAAAATAACTTGTTAACATTAACAATGTGTTAATTGAATAAAAAGATACTTACCATTCTATCTCTGAAGCCTCCTTTGCACCGTCTCGTCCTCAATGCAGTTGTCACATAAAATTATTATTTTTATTTATTAAGAAATAAAAAATCGGAGCTTAAATTAATAAAATTAAAAATTTAGAGTTTGTTTTGTTACAAGATTCCAATCCTAAATAACAAATAAGATAACGACACCTTTGAAGAAATTTTTTCTGGGGAAATTGCACTTCAATGCAAGTTTCCAATTTTTTTTTTTTTACAAATAGATGAATAAGTTTATCAATTTTAATAATTAAACTTTCAAGTTTTTCCATGAATTTGTAAATATTTTGTAGAAATATCACTTATTTGCAATTTTTCCAAAAAAGTCCTCCATTGCACCCTCTAGACGGAAGTGAATGGGCAAATCATTAAAAATCCATGTTCCCAACCAAAAATAAAAATGCATGGATTAAGATGAAACAATTAAAATTTTAAGATTTAATTTTTGACAAGACAGTGAAATTTTTCCTAATATATTTTGTTTCAATTTTAGCATTTATTAAAATATGAATTGGACTTTCCAATAACAAATTATCGAGGCATATCCACCCACAGAAAATAAAATATAAAAAAAATCAAATAAACAAATTTCATGTATTTTCCTTTTTAATTAATTTCTTGAAAGTAGAATAAATTCCTCCAAATAGAAGCTATATTTTCATACAACAAGCAGGTCATGAGTATATAGTCATGCTCAATAATTTACAAAATTAACTAGACTTGTAATAAAACAAACATTTCATAGCAAAAAACATATTGCAATCCATCCAAACACACAATCCACAATACAATTACACATGAAAATAAATATTTATGAAGTTATTTCATCATTTCAACAAATACATAGAGGGCCTAGTAACAGTTGGTGTTGATAGCTCCGTATGCTCTAAACTCGCTGCTCGTGTGTCTCTTAGGCGTGGCCTAACTTCCTGGAAAACATAGCAAAAAAATGGAAACAAAAAACAAAAAATAAAAAAACGACAATGTGATTATCAGTTATATTAAAGCCAACTAAATATTGACTAGCCATCAATATAGTTTATAAACAGAGGATTAATTCAGTATCATTGAACAAATACGGCACAACCTTAATGCTTTTGTTAGGTTTGCAATGGCAGAGCACATCATCATCACTGTTATTACAAGATTTGCAAAATTATTGTAGGAGTGAATGACTTCTGCAAGAAAAGAAAAGAAAAGAAAAAAAAAATGCATATAGGAATAGAAGTTGGATATAATCAAACAGAAAAGGATCAGAAGGTAAAGCTAATTTTTGGATCATTTTATTTATCAATGACAACTAAACATATAGTGGATGTCAAGCCATTGCTTGGTCAAAAATTAGGGTGGCAATAGAAGTTACCATATAGATAGATCTTGAGACCAATGAGCTGAAGATTGCTTGCAACATAGACCTGCACATGTGTATTATAATTATAAAATAGACCTAAGAAAACCCACAAAACTCAAGCAAATAGCAAGTGTGTGCTTAAATCAGCTTATGTAGGATTTGAAGAAAAAAAAAATGTCTAACTTGTTAGCAAAGATCAAGACACAAAAAGATAAGACAACAAAATTGAAAAAAAATACTTACCGTTTACCTCTGAAGCCTCCTTTGCAGTCTAGCCATACTCAGTGCACTTGTAACATAAAACCAATTCTTTATCCGGTCCAAGAACTCGAAATAGGCATGTCTAGATGGTTTGTTAAAAATCATAGTGCCAAAAACTGTCCAAAATCCAAGGGTGAAACCTAGCCCCATACTAATGTAAAATCCAGTGGTAATAAACTTGTCATCATCTTCTTGAACAAGAACTGGAGGTTCCACAACTATTTCTTCTCCTGGACATTTATTTGGAAGTGGAAGCCCACAAAGTTCAGGGTTTCCTGAGTATAAAGAGGAATCAAAGCTTTGCAATTGAGTGCTATTGGGATTTTTCCTGACAACCTGTTATTTTATAAATTCAACACACTGAGAAAATTTAGATCAGCGAGGCTGGTAGGAATTGCGCCAGAAAGCTCATTTGTAGACAAGTCAAGAGAATCCAACAATTTCATATGACCAACTTCTTGGATGATATTTCATTTTAAACTGTTTTGTGATAGGTTCAAAGAAACCAACCCTACAAGACTCCCAACTTGTTTAGGAATTTTCCCAGCAAGTTTATTGCTAGAAAGATCAATGCTTTTTAGTAGTCCCAAAGTAGTTCTATATTCCGATTCTTATCCTTTCCACAGCACCAAAGCATTGTCAATGTAGCTGCCACCTTCATAACCTTTGCCAAGAAATGTCAAATAATAAAAAGAAAGGGTTGAACTACAACTCTTACTTTCCACCATGGTTGTAAAATTGTCAAAACAGTTTGGTATGTTTCCTGATAAACGATTCTGGGAGAAGTCTAAAATTTGAATTTGGTTAAGATGACATATATGTCGAGGGATGCTTCCCTCAAACTCATTGGATCGTAGACTCAGAACAATTAAACTTGTTAAGTGTGCCCCTATCCATACTGGTACTTTTCATGTGAATCTATTTCCTCCCAGATCAATCATTATTAACTTTGTGCATCTCTTTAGTAAAGAAGGAACTTCCCTAGAGAAATTGTTGTTACACAAGTGCAAAGTTTGAATATGGCCTAGGGAACCCATTGAGCTCGGAATTTTTCCATACAAATTATTGTATGCCAAATTAATGATGGATAGTGCTTTGAGGTGCACCCAACTGCTTGGAAGCTCTCCTGATAGTAAGTTATTTGAGAGGTCAAGATAGGTGAGCTTCATACCCGTGTTTGCACATAAGAAAGAAAGTGAACCCGAGAACTTATTTTTGGAGAGATTCAAAAGTGTTACATTAGGAGGAACTAGTGGTATTGGACCCATGAAATGATTCGAGCTTAAATCTGTAGTAGGATAGCCACGATACTTCAATGAGAGATCAGGTGTGATAACCCTGGTCCATATTATGCTATTTAATCTTAATTGTGATCGTGATTATATGTTTGATATGATTTTGAATGCCATCTATGTGAATATATGTGGTTTTGAACTTCTATCTGTTCACCGTAGGAAAATCTGTTTGATTTAAACTACTTTAGAAATTAATTGAATGCCTTATTAGCCACAGAAGCGAAAATTGATTACGCCATTGTGATTAACGTAATTTTTAGAGCCTACGGTGAAATTTAATTAAAAATTTATTCGGATTAAAATAATTAGATTCAGAACGATTAATTAAGTGCTATTAATTAGCTATGACCAAATTTGATTAAAGAAGCCTATATAAGGGACCCAACTACACTTATATGTATTTGTTTTGAGCTCAAAGCTGAAAATCACTCTAGAGAGAGGGAGTGAGGGTCGGTTAGAGAGAGAGGGAGCTCAAGTTGATGAATTGCTCAAGAAGTTTGAAGATCTGGGGGGTGTAACTCAAGAATTAGCTATAATTTGGAAGATTTGAACCTCTAGGTGAGCATTTGAGCATGGATTCATGAGTATAAGTTTGTAAATTTGTGTATTCAAGTTAGTTGGGTAATCAAGAACATAAATTGAAATGAAATTGAAGAATTTGAAGCTTATATGTACATGCATGTAAGAATTTGCTATGAAGTTGTATAATTGAGCATGAAAAATATGATCCATGTAGAATTGTGGTTAAAGTTCATGCTTTTGATCATCATTTGTATCATCTAAGTTGAAAATGGAAGTTGTAGTTCACATGCAAGTGCAATTCATAGAAGCATGAGTGTTGGATGCATGAAATTGAAGTATTGATGATGGGTTTGATATGAATCGTGTGTGTATGTAAGTAATTCATGGAAATTAAATTTCATATTGTTGTAATCTAGCGTTTGTATCATGTTAGAAGGTTTGCATGTGAAGTATAAGTCGTGGTATGCAAGTTATTTGAGTTTGAATGCAAGTTTGAGCCTCAAGAATAGTTCTGGAAAACCTAGAATTTGGCATGTCCGCTCGAGCGGGGAAAGCGCCGCTCGAGCGTGAAATGCAAGCTCCCAGCAGTTTTCCAGTCAGTGATGTGCGCTCAAGCGGGGGCATTCACGCTCGAGCGGGGAACTATGTAGAGTGACTTTCAGCTCGAGCGTCCAAATTCACGCTCGAGCGTAAAAATGAGGCAACCAGTACTTTTGCAAACCATGAAGGTCCGCTCGAGCGGCGGAACCCACGCTCGAGTGGGGACCCCTGTTTCAAAAATTTTGTAAAAGTGTTATGTGCTTCATTTTCCGTTCTCTTTCACTTCTAAGTACTCTTAGGCATGCATTGAACATTATGAATGAATTAAAAGAGTAAGAAAGAAGCCTAAGAGGGATGTATGAATTAAGAACAAACTAAATTGATTGTGACCCATATGTGTTATATAATGTGTAGGGTCGAGCTCCAGGGCAAATCCGCCAGCAGAATACTGTGAGTAATATCTTAATAAAGATATTTTGAAGTATGTTATTTGTCCAATTGCTTATTTCCCTATAAGTCTTACAAGTTTGTTAATTTGAATTGTGGACAAATGTTTCGTATGACATGAATGAATGGGCCAAAGGCCGTATGACATAAATGAATGGGCCAAAGGGCGTATGACATGAATGAATAGGCCAAATGGCGTATGACTAGAATGAATGGGCCAAAAACAGCATGACATGAATGAATGGGCCAAAGGCCGTATGACTAGAATGAATGGGCCAAAGGCCGTATGACATGAATGAATGGGCCAAAGGCCGTATGACTTGAATGAATGGGCCAAAGTCCATATGACACGAATGATAGTTTGACATGAATGATAGTCTGACATATGAATGATTGGGCCAAAGGCCGTCTGACACGAATGATAGTCTGACATGAACGATAATTTGATATGAACGATTTGGCCAAAGGCCGTCAGATACGAACGATTGGGCCCGAGGCTGTTTGATGTGTTTGGAACTGCAGTCACTTGACATATATATATATATACTAGATAGAGATATGAATTGGGCCCAAGGCCGTCTGATGTATGTTGTTCTAAATACTGGTCATGTATCTTCTTTATTTAATATTATTCACTGGGCTTTCGCTCACGCTCATTCATGTCTTTGTAGGTGAGCCAAGGGACGTCCAAACCCAACCTCGGTGAAATATGTGAGAAACAGTCAAGGTTTTGAAGAGTCAGCCCATACGTCTCACGCACGAGACTTGTTTTCGCCCCTTTGCTATTTTGTTATATTTTGTCATGTTGGCGAGAACTTTGGATTATGATTGTATGTGGTTTTGATTGGCTGACCATGACTTGAATGATCCTACTATGTAAAGTTTATATGTTAACTTTCCTTGATGTGAGTTATGAATGTATGTTAGTAAAATGTTATGACGTGCCATGTAAGCACAGCTCTATAGACAAAAGTTCAAAATTGCTTCCGTTTGGCCCCCTTTACTCTGACGAGTTATGTCTTGTTTGGTTTGAGGCCGTAGGTAATCCCTTTATTACTAGCCGATTATGTCCTTAACCCATAGGGGTGGGTTTGGGCCATGACATCAGGCAACAAGCCTTTGATCAGATTGTTAGAGAGATTTAAAGAAATTAAACCTGGGGATAGATCCCATGACCAATTAGGAACAACATTTGAAATTCCATTACTTGAGATATCAAGCTCAGAGAGGTTATTTTGCGTTTGAAGCCATTTTGGAAAATGAGGCCCCAACTTACAAGATGACAACATTATAGTATCAAGTTGGAAAGGAGGAACCCAATCAGAACTGAAGTTAAAAGTTAATGAGTTTGAAGAAAATAGCAAATACTTCAAACTGGAGAGATTAGAAAAGTGAGTCTCAGAGACTATGCCTTTTAACGAATTGGAAGCGACACTGAAAAACTCAAGCTTGGAAAGTTTTCCAATATTTCTGTGCATGGTCCCATTCAATTGATTGTGTCCAAGCTCTAACTCCGTCAATGATGGAAACATTGAAAGGTCAGGTAGTGACCCTATAATTTGGTTTCCATATAACCGAAGATAAACAAGACTACGAAGTTGTCCAAAAGTTTCTGGGATGGACCCACTTAATTGATTATAACCAACAGAAAATTCTCTTAAGGAAGAAAATCTTGTAAAATCAGGCAATGGACCACTAAGTCGATTGTCATCCACAAGCAAAGCCTGCAATGAGTCCTCTACCCCAGACAACTTTTGAAGGAACTGATGAAATTCTTCAGTTAAATTGTTTCCAGACAGATGTAAAGATTGCAAAAGAGTTAAATTTGCAAAGGATTTTGGAAGGGCACCTTCAACATGATTGCAACCAAGACTGATATTTGTGAGGGAAATCATGCCTTCAAAAGAATCAGGAATCGGACCTTTTAACTGGTTACCAAAAAGGTCTACATCGATAAGGCTACTACTAAAGTTGAACAACCAACTGTATATTGAAGAAGAGAGATAATTTCCAGATAGATCAAGTACAGAAAGAGACATGGAAAAATTCAAAGGAAGTGAGGGATGAGTGATGTCAGGAAGTCTACAATCCCTTAAACTTAACTCTTTTAGGAGAGGAAGATTATTGATAGATTGAATCCAGTCGACTGCTTTACTGAGGTTAACAGAACTAAGGTCCAAGTGACTTAATAAAGAAAGATGAGAAAGCAGCTCAAGATTTTCGCACTTAAGATTAGAATTGTAGCCAAGATTAAGATACTGTAAGTTAGAAAGGTTGCTTAACTTTGTGATGTGGCTATGAAAATTGTTTCCACTGAGGTCCAAATACTTCAAATGTTGCAATTCAAGCAATGAAGTACTAATCTTACCATGCAGTGGATGATAAGAAACATCGAACGATAAATGAAGATCGAGCATGGTGACATGACCAGTGTGGTTGTTGCACCCAACTCCATTCCATTCGCAACAATCTTTTTTATCTTCTTCACTCCCCCAAGATGAGAGACGACCATAATCATCGATAAGAGCATCTTTAAACTTGAGCAGAGCTTGTCTTTCCCTCTCTATGCACTTGGTTTTAGCATCTTCTTCAACTCTTAAGGAGAGTCCAAGAGCAGGTTTCATGCATAGTAAAAGTGAAACAACGACAAACACATGGAGAAATTGATGAAAATTTTCAACCATCACCATTTTCATGAACATGTTCATGATAAGATGATGCAACAAAAATTAATACCAAGATGAAGTAGCAAATACACCAAGAAATGAGGATTTGCAATTTTTGGTTTTCTGATTTTTATTTGCCATGGAATGACCACCTTTTATATTGTAGTTGCACCAATAATTGTCCACTCATTCAAGACTTTTTTTTAAAAAAAAAGATTTAAAATCGGTTGGGTATTTACAAAAAAGAGAACTATTCTATCAACCACATCCCTAGCCTAACAATAGTTAAAAAATCAATCATCACCAAACCGAACAATTAATCACCAATCACCATACTCAAAACTCAACAACCATCATTATTTACATATGATACAACCCCATAATGAAAAAGAAATAAACAACACAAATATCATACTCTTATCCATAAAAGTTAAACCACAATGGCATATCACAAAATACTATACAACCACTAAGTTAAAGGGTTGAGTGGTTAATTCAAGATTTGGTTGCTTGAACACGCTTGTCATATATTGCTACTTTGAAATCCGTTAGTCCACTTTGTTTAGCAGAATTTTGGTGATTTTGTGAAAAAATAATGTATAAGAAAGAAATTTAGGAGCATCTTTCAAAATAATTGTAATTTTCATAGAGGTGTAAGTGGATCAGTATAAGTAAAAACTATGACATAGCATACAACTCCCACTTGCATCCACTAGGAAATAATAATAATAATAATAATAATAATAATAAGAGAAAATAATTTTCTGTAACTAAAAGTGGCAAATTAAAGGGGACAAGGTACAACTACCTTAGTGACTCTGAATTTTCAGCAATTAAATTTAGACTATTTTTGAATAATCAAAAAAAGATTAAAAAACAACTTAAATATAAATAAGAATGGTTTGTAAGTATGTTTTCAAACACATTTCTTTTGCCATTTTAACCATGTTCTTAGACCATGTGAACAATTCATTTGGATACTCTGAAATATTCCCCAACTATGTGCGTAGAAGATATGTATGTCATTTGGTGTGAATTTCATCAAACGTATATTTTCAAAATTGCTTTACAATTGATGACTTCAAAATTGTCTTACGAAAAAATTAAACTGATTCAGATATTTAAATCTCAAAAAACATAAATAAATTTTATTCATTCTGAAAATCTAAGTGATTCGTGATTAGATCAAGATTAAAATATTCCAAATCCCAAAAATCCAAAACACACAATCTAAATCAACAAGCACTTACGAAAGTGATTTAGATTGTTTGTTTTTCAGATTAAATAATAAATCGACACAAACGATTTTTACGTGGAAAAAACCACAATTGGACACCTCCAACTGTGATTAAAAAGCCACGGGCGAAACGCCATAAATCAATCCACTACTGAAGTAAAAAGATTACAAAGATATCATACAAATTACCCAACTCAGTCAATCTGTCTTCGAATCTTCTGTAACTCTTTTTCCACGACTTCGTCTCGGAACTGATCAATCCTGAAGTTGATTCCACAACCTCACTCACATATAGAATCAAACGCCTTTTGAAAACTATACGCTAGAATCTTCGGAATCCACCAAAGAGAACTCTCTCTTGAATTTAAAGAAACCAACTCCTTGATGTATGGTATTTTAGATCATGAGTGAAGAACTCTTCTCAAGACATCAAGGAAAACTCACCAAAACTCCAGAAGAACCCCACAAACAAAACCCTAGGACTCTTGAATAAGATTTAGAAAAAGTAGTCCTAAAAACAACCTAAAAAGATATAAATAGGAATCCTGAATCCGCGATCTCCGCTCGAGCGCCCAACATCCCGCTCGAGCGGCTTCAACAACTTCGCTCGAGCCATAAAGTCTTCGCTCGAGCGAGGAATAAACTCTTTCAGGTTTGTACGCAGATGCAGTTCTTCGTTCGAGCCTCCAATGCTTCGCTCGAGCGCACAATGACCTCTTTCAGGTTTGCAGCCAGACGCAGTCCTTCGCTCGAGCGAGTCCTTCTTCGCTCGAGCGAGCAACACAAAACAGCACAGAAATTACAACTCGATTACACAAGTTTGTTCGTGGAATTGACAAGACTTAGGGACCTAACACATTCTTTTTATTTATAAATTATATATTTTTTATAGGAGCATTATGTGTGTACCAGTCGCTAGTATGGGCATTGTGTTTGTTCAATTTATGTGACAGGATTAAACAAGAAAACAAATTAATCTCCCAAAAATTAAATCCTGAGAGGCCGAATATGTTATCCTAACCCCTACCCTTATCCTAGTGACCATTTGTGTAAACAAACAAGGGATAAGGCGCAAGTTTTCCTATCCTAACCCGTTATCCACAGTTCTCTCTTTTTGGGTTTAATTTGCCTAATCTAACTTCTTTATGTTGGATTTCTCTCAATTCTTTTGTAAAATTACTCTCTATTCTTGGTAAATAACACTTTGGTTCACATAATTTTTTTTTCTTGGTCCTGTTTCATTGTAAATTTTTAAATTGAAATTTCTCAAACCAAAGTCAACTTGAATAATAAGATCCCACGTAAATAACCAAAAGCTCTTAAATTCGAGTCTTTTTCACTTGATATGTGAAGCTAGCCCTGATCGTACATATCCAGGATTTACCCTAGTCTCATAGAAGGTAAGGTCATGGATTCCTTATTAACAACACAGTAAGATTACATTTATCAATTTTTTATATCATATTATACATATCTTTATTATCTTACTTGTCAATATAATAAGTTCCACCACTAACGTATATCTCCAATGTAATACTAACAATTAGATTAACATATCAGATGATACAATAATGTGGTCGAAATAGATAATTATTCTAACATTACTTTTAAAAAAAGGTCGAAAAATCTCAATACCCAATTTCACCGAGCCCAATTGGTTTGTTGGAAATTTTTGTAGTCTTAATGAAATGACAGATATTAGAGGGCATCTATGGCTATAATGCAAGTCAAGGTCATACTTGAGTAACCAGGGGTGGTGGGCCTAGTGGGTGACAACTGGGGCCTGTAGGTTTGCTCCTTCTCAAGTCTCACGTTCGAATCTCTTATTCAGCAAACGCATATCTTGGGGTCATAGACCACAGGGTACCAGTCCTGTTTCGAAAGGTTTTTTCGGCCTGTAGGAACTTAGTCTGGTTGTCATACTTGACTGTAATGCAACCTTGTCTCATCACCAATCACATTCAGTCCAAATTATACTTTGAAATGTATTTAATTGGTTAATGGTAAGAAATTGACTTTTGAAAATTTTGTGAAAATTCTATCAAAGCGAGTGGCGTGATTACAGGCCGGTCTGACTGCGTGAGGGTCTAAGGCGACTTTAAAAAAGAAGGCCATTCTTCAAAAAAATAAAATAAATAAATAAATAAATAACAAACAAACAAACTTTGTTTAGATTTTTTAGCTTGTACCAACACAAAATTTATTTACTTATATAAATACTAAAATTAGTAATTTCTTACATGTTCTATGCACGAAAATTATTTACAATATTAGGTTATTTGAAAATATTGTATTAGTGCATAATTTGATTATAATTTATTTTTTACAATAATTATAATATTGCATTTTCTGAACAATTTTATTTAATTTTTATAATTCACATAATCATAGTTACTGAGGTAGACACAAATCATAATTAATGAAATAGATTTTGGATATTTTTTATGGGTAACATTATTATCCTTCAAATTGACTATGGTGTGTTTAGGGCTGTAAATGAATAAGACTGTTTATAAACAAGTTTGAACTTGGCTCAATGAGGGTTTATTTGAACTCGATTCGTTATTTTATTTTTTTTTTACGTTCGAGCTCGATTTTGAGTTTGTTAAAATCTTAATAAATAAATCCAAACATACTAAACTCGGCTCATTAGCGGACTCATTTAACATTTATTATTTATATATTAAATAATATAAAAATATGTATAAAAAATAAAATAAATATGTTATTTATATATTTAAGAAATGTAAATGTAAATAATAGCTAACTATATATAATACATTTATATAATAGTAGTGGTAGATATAATTATTTTAGTAAAATATTTACTTCTCGTTTAGTATGTTTATATATATTGTATATATAATTGTATAATCAAATTTTCAATTGTAATTTTAGTCTCATAAGCAAATATGAATTTATAATTTTTTGGACTCGTTAAGGATCATGAACAGGGTCGAGCTCGAGTCAAGCCTAAGTCAACTCAGCTAGAGCTTGGTTCGTTAAATTTATTGAACTCAAGCTCGAACTCGTACTTGTTAGAATCTTAATAAACAAGCCCAAACATATTTAAACCCAGCTCGGTTCGGCTCTTTTGCAACCCTAGGTGTGTTTGATAAAATTGAAAATTAAAAATTAAATAATTTTTTTAATCAAAATAATTGTTTGGTATTTATTGAAATTTAAGTAGGAGTTGTATTGGTGATGATATGGTGAGATAGTTGTGACAATAATGGTAAAGTGGCGGTGGTGATTTTATTTTATTTTTATCATAAAAAAAAGTAATATTTTATTAAAAAATAAAATATTAAAAGATAAAAAGGAAAACATGAAAATGCATCAATTACAAATAAGCACCTAACCTATTCTAAATAGGATGAGTAAAAGATGCAGTCCAAAAAAAAAAAATTGCTAGTTAGTAAGAAATCAACCAATTAAATCAAAACTCCTAATATAATCTAAACTCAGGATTATTTTGAGTATGACTTATAAGTCATAAGTTAATTTTTAATATCCATATTTTTCTTAAAAAATTTATCTCTTCTCTAGTATATAATCTAAACTCACACACCCATATTCTATCTCTAATAATTTATCATGATGGCGATGGTGGTCATACTCGGTGATGGCGATACAACTTAATTTTAACATGTTTTTAAGAGGTGTTTAAAATTCTAAATAATATAAATTATTTTAATCAAACAAACTTGTTTATTTCAAATATTGAATTAAGTTATTAAACATCACATATCAATTCATCTAAATATTTAAATTATTAAAGAGAAGA